TGTCGTTGTCGTTGTCGTTGTCGTTGTCGTTGTGGTGGTTGTTGTTGTTGTTGTTGTCGTTGTTGTTGTTGTCATTGTTGCTGTTGTTGTTGTTGTTGTTGCTGCTGTTGCTGTTGCTGTTGCTGTTGCTGCCTGCGATTTCTCTTGCGAAGTTTAAAAGAATGGCACAACCCTCACGCCCGGATTTTGGTTCTGCAAACAAACACACACTGTGAACTTCCGACAGGTTACTGTATTCGAGTTTGATTGTGGCCCGTCGGGCTACTTGAGAGCAGTTTACTTTAGGCCCCTGCCCAATCGCCCCAATGCCTCTTGCATGGTAGTGGAAACGAAAGCTTCAACGGACTTGGTTAGAGAAGATGAGAAGTGATGCCCGATGGAGTTCTGATCAAGACTTGAAGAATCTCTTCAAAGAAAAAGCACAAAGCAAAGAACGTAACAACAGTGCCATAGATTCTGCCGAACAAGCAGCCCCCCCACACCACACAAGAGCACTCCAGGCAAGCCTGAGATATCATGCCTTGCACTTAATCTTTCGGGTTCTAAGGCTTAAGTTGCTAGGTTATTAAGGCTACTAGATACACTCACCGTCCACCCGCCCAACTTGCCAGGAAAGAGCAAACATGCCACAGCTAGTTCGCAGGCCCCCAGTGCCACCCCGACATCCTTGTCAAGCTTTAAAAATCACCCATCCAGAAGTCCGCGAGCTTCAAAGACATCATCAGCCCAAAACCCAAAACCTTGTAGAGCCCTTGAAAAATGCCAGTTGGAAAACCAGCCAAGGCCTGGTCCAAGGGGCTTTGAAGCGATACAACCTCGAAAGGCCTTCAGCAGGCCTTCCAGAGGAGCACGCCGGCCAGCATGATCAACACGCCGGCCATCATTAACCGATGGCCGGCACGCTGACGCTCGTCGTTGGCATCCTGCTTGGCGACCCGACATGCAAGTCTTCTGCTGCACTTTGAGCAACAAATCCAACTCTGCATGCTTTGGCTTGACACGAAGCTCAGCTAGCGAAAAATCTGCTATCCTGTTTGGTGCAATCTGGACGGGGATCCCCCGCATCTCTGAGAACTAGCAGCAAGTAGCATGAAGTAGCCAAAAGCCCAAAGTCTGCCTCCGATGCATCACGGACGACGTCTGAGGCCGCAGCCCTTGGCTCTGAATGGAACCCCAAGGATGACGGGACAGAACACAGTGCTCAAACTTGACAGATATCGCGCCATGTCGCATTGGCAGCCAGAAGAGCCAATGCCAGCGGCTTGACATCGCCAACTGTCAGAAAGGGCACAGAACGAACCACTGGGTTTCAGGCTTTCGGGATTGGGATTGGAGCTTGGCGGCTTCGGATGCTACAGTGGGCTGCCGAGGCTCGGATCGGCGACAGAGTAGGCGGTCCGGCAGACTGAGTGCGACGTTCCTGTTGGAGTTGGCATCGCCCTCTACCTGGCCGAAGCTCACGGTGTCGGTCCGGATAATGGAGGCTCCCGTAACACGAGACATCCTGGTGTGGACAAAGGCAGTGTAGCCGCGCTGGGTCTGGGGGCAGGCGACACCGGTTCATCATTGTCTTTCTCCAAAGCCGCACTACGAGACGATTATGACGGTGCCTACCAAGGAAGAAATTTGGGATGCCTCACACCCTATGCCCTTTGTGAATCTGAGCATCACACCCTATGCCCTTTGTGAATCTGAGCATCCACGTGGAGCCATCAGAATTTGAAATACCAGATCCCAATCAACAAGTGCGCCGGAGCGACGTGCTCGCGACGCTTCAGTGGGGAGGCCTTGGTTCATGTGGCAGCTGCAAGGGAAAGCAGTTCGGTCCTGTAGGTGTTTCAGGAATCGGGCAGCCGAGTCCTGCCGAGGCTCGCTTCGGTGCCCGGGTTGGCGGTGTAGCCGCAATGGCTCCCGTTGGTCATCGGCCTCATCGTCCTGCAGGACGAAGGGGCTTGGTGGTTCCAATCGCGAAACGACCGATCCCAGTGCCTTGCCTCAGGATGTGCGCCGCATGTCCTCCAAGTTGCTGGTTGAAGTTCGTGACTCTCTAGGTCAAGTCCCTGAATGGCTGCAGCATGCCGGTTCCGCACCCGTTCCGTGAAAGAAAGGAGCGTAAAAGGAATCTTTCTGGAAATGCTTTCCCGGAGAAGTTGATTGAGGTTGATGGGGGAATGCCTTGGATTGAGTGCACGCTTTTTGTGATCCAACTTTTCATGTCCGCCTTTAGAGGTTGCACAGGTTCTGGCAGTTGATGGCTGTGCAAGTCTCTGAACCCTCGCCCCCTGCAAAACACGAAGCGCATATCAGCCGTGCTCCAGGTGTCGCCTTTTTGCTTTTGGACAGGGGCGAGCTCAAAGCGCGACTCAGGTGCAACCCGTGCAGGTTTTCCAGCAAAGGGATCCAAAGGCCGCATCGGCGCACCAGCCAAGTGCCTCTCCGTCCGCGCAAGTCGCGACGTCCCCGAATCTCGGGAAGGTCGCGTCCTCACAAACCTGGTTGCAAAAGCCTGGGCAACCGCCAGGAGCATCTCCGGACTCGGTCAGATTGGCGCATCCGCAGCTCTCCGGACAGAGACGCGCCAGGGGTGCAAAGAGCGGCTCGTAGCCATCGCACCATTTCACATTCCTCACGACTTCGCGGTTCCAGCGGCTGTTGTTCAAGGCAGGGCAGCCCTGCGCCTTCATTTCCTCCATCATTTCTGTGATTAGAGCGCCCACAGTACGATCGCCCACAGTGCTGCTGAATAGAGACTGGCCTGTGTCGTTCTCAACCGCGCTCGGATAAGCATCCCAGAAGGCATCCCAGGCAGGAGTTGCATTTGTTTGTATATCCACACAGGAGCGTGCAGGATTCTTGTCAGACTCTTCCACACATCTCAGGGGACAGCCTGAGGCTGTGGTTTTGTACCAGCTGTTGCGGACCTCGCCTGAGCAGCAGGTCTTTCCGCACACAAAGCGCACCAGTGAGCCAGAAGCCACGTCGCAGAGATGGGCCATGTCCTCGCATGAGGTGTTTTCGGGTAAAGCTTGGCCAGCCAAAGCCGAGTGCCAGTACGGAGCAAAGTAGCCCACCAAGCCCGGAGCTGTGTTGCCTGGTAGAAAAAACTGGTCGAAGTCTTCACACCAGGAAGTGATGGCCTCTGCAGCCTCCTTTAGTCTCAGCATCCGCTGTTGCTGGAAGCGTTGGAGGTCCGGCTGCATGAGAATGTATGTCGCCGGCTCCCCATCCTTCAGATGAAATTCCTCGACAGCCCGCTGGCTTAAAGTTTTTCCTCCGACGTCTGCAAAGGCCACAGTAGGGAATCCCACGGTGAGCTGGAGGTCCTCCAAAACCAATAAATCGCAACCGGGGGAATGGACGCGAAAACTAAGTTGAGCGAAGCGTGCATACCCCTCTTTCCCGTATGCCTCCTCCTCCTCCTCCTCCTATTACTCGGGGCCGACTCCTACTGCTCCTAGTGAAGACTGCTACACCAGAGAGAGGCCCTGATGAAGTCGAGACCCAGGAGCTTCGTTGAGTGCGACCACGAAGTCCTGGTTCCCTGCGCAGTAGGCCTTCTTCACCTTCTCCATGGTGCGGCCCAGGGGCTCCAAAAGGCTGAACCAAGGCCAGCAGAGCAGCGCTGCCATGAGAAGCAAGGTGAGCAGCGACTCTGCCTGACTCCGGCGGCGGCTGTAATGAACCTTGATGGCCTCTAGATCCTGGATCTCCAGTTGCAGCTTCTTGGGCATCAAGGCAGCAAAGATCATCTCGTCCACCTGGAGGATGGCACCCAAGGCCTGTCGTCGGAACACGGACTCTCTTCTCCAAGTCGGTCGGAGGCGCGCAAAAAACCAACAACAAACCGAGAGCAGCTCGCAAAAAAAGGGGAACAGCACAGTCACACACAGAAAACGCACACACACACACACACC